TACAATTATCCCTCACGAGATTACCCGTTGCGCCATTCTTCCCCTGGAGCAGCCTTCACAAGGTGGCCAGCGCTTAGCATGGAATTCCGCGAAGGACGTGAGGCCGCCTGCATTATTCCTATCCGACTTTCCACCTATTGTCCGCACTGTGAGACCATTTGAAAATGGGGGTGCAAGCTCGTACCGGTATGTACAAGTACATGAGTACTCAGTACTAATACTCGAGTACTCGAGCACATACGGGTACGGTGGCCTATCACAATAATATCTGCCCGATTATGTCATTATGGTGTCTGATACAAGTACGGCATCTTTTCCTTGGCATGCCATCATCATTGCTTCATGCTCTTCTCGTATCCGAAATCTGCTGAAATCGGTGAGACGACTATTGTGCTGTAGTCTACCTTAAGCTTCCTCCAATAATCACAACCCTCCTACAACCAAGCAAAAATACGGTATCTATGGGCACACGATACCGAAGCGGCAAATATCATCGACTGGAGCTTCGACACTTCATCATGCTCCCTTTTACTACTCGGAGATTCTTACTTCAAGGGTTCTTCCCATGCATGCCGCTGTCCATGGCTCAGCTAGGCTCAGGCAAGTTTTCTCTGTCCATGGCGTCTCGTCTGGATACTGGCCGGCGTGGTAAGTGAGCAGAACGGACGAGGTGCCTAGTGCAGCAGCCCCCCCCTGACGCAAAGTCTACTGTACTCGTACTGTACTCATACCGGTAGCTTTCCCGCGATAAGATGACCAAATGAAGAGTTCTCAAGGCGAAACAGACTAAGCCCAAACTCGCACTAGAACCTTGGCTGAGCGGATGAGTAATATTATCAGCACCACCAATGATCAGGATCGAGGCCGAGGTTGACAGTCTTGGGTGGAAGTTTCCCACTTTCGGAATAGGAACCGCCTTGATGGGAGCGGGAAGGGCAATTTTGCAGGGCATTGTTTCGTAATTTATTTCCCCTTGTGGTGATAAGCATATGGGGAAAGCGTCTTCATTACGATGGGCAGATGGAAAACAACAGGCTAGTCACAACAAAGGCCCTCATTACGGCATCAGAAATGGCTTTGAGGATAGAAATGACTTGGAAACTAACTCTCCGCATCGCAGGGTATGATTCTGCTCGAGTTGGATAAGACACACTCGTAGTTTCCCAAGATGCTTGCATTTGCGCGCAAACTGGGATTCGTGGGCTGTGAGAAAATCAATAGGAACACGGTAATGTTTCACGAGCGACGAAACACATTCCGAATAAAATCGCCCGTCGCAAGGGTTGCCTCACTCGCCTGCGGTCTCGCCCCTGCTTATGCATGCGGCCCAGAGATACCAAGTATGATACCCAGAATAATAATGATAACAACAATGGAAAACTCTCAAGGGAGGGGAATACGGTAATTAAGACCCCACCTTCACAGCCAAATCCGTTGCGTTGCTCTTGAATTCTATGCAAACGTCCGCCTTGAACTGGCTCAGGCCGGCGGTGTCGTCGTTGTGTGGTGGTCGGATTTTGTGTGCGGTAGTGTGCTGGTATCATATTCTGCTGTACTTTACCGGGTATGATATGAAAGCTATGACCAAGGACTGACCAAACCAAGCACAGGTGCGTACCGAAAAGCACAGTGCAAGGAAAAATGGAGGGTTTTGCGGACAGTTATCGCACAGCGGGTTAAATGTAGGATAGCAGATAGGTATGATACAGAAAAGCCTTTGTGGGTGGTGAACATTCGGGAACGCATCAACCAGACAAATACTTTGAGGGCTATTTTAGGGTATGAGTTGAAGCTTGTTTTAATTGTGTCATTCTCAATGGAATTGAAGACTGTATTAGTAAGCAAGCTTGAGCACCAGCGGGTCGTGAATGATAAATTTAGTACATATCAACTACCGGTATTCATTATATGCATATAGTAGCCAACTAAGGCTCCACTTCTCACGTTACCGTACTCGTATGGCTCAGCATTGTCTCATCAGATTAGGTATCTGAGTGCCTGGATGGCAGTCTCCGGTGGCAACAACGCTGGTTGGCCCATGTACGAGTGATCGGCGGTGGACACAGAACGCTATCGAATAACTCTCAGGGCTCGCGATGGATTAGGTTTTTGCCCAGGATAATGCATTCCCCGAGCTAGAGACACCACAACGACCCTACCCCGACAAGAACAGCACTGCACTCTTACACAACCTGCGACCTCATATAGTATGATATGATACACCCCAGCGCATGTATTTATGATATGATACTCGCCCCCCCATCAAACCAGCAGAATGTCCACGCACCCCAATCACGCGAAAACCCACGCCTCGCCCGCAACCTTTGTGACCCACCTGCTAACGACATATCCCCACTCCCGCATATCCCTGATCCTCTGCCTTCCCCCGCATCCACATCCGCTCCCGCGCCTTCCGCGAACACTCCGGACCATCTCTGCTGCGCGCAACGTGCTTGTCGCGTTCGCGCCGACGCCGTCGCTGTTCCGCGCCACGGTCGCGAGTCTGCTGGATAAGGGCCGGGAGGAGATTGGGGTTTTGGCCGTGTGGGGACTTGTCCGGGCGCACTGGGTGGCGGGGAGCACGGAGTGGTGCGCTGGAGGGATTGGCAGGGCGATTGCGGCGGTGGTGGAGATCGCGGGGTGTGGATGGGTTTTTGGGGAGGGGGTTGTTGAGGAGGATGGAGAGGGTGGGGGTGATGGAGGGGGTAGTGAGGGTGGGGATGGGGATGGGGTGGAGTGGTGGGGCGCTGAGGTGCCGATTTTAGTTGGTGGTGAGAGAAGTACAAATGTTGCGGGGGTCTTTGGGAAGTGGTGTTCTGTTGAGTGGAAGAAGAGGGAGGAGGGGGTTGCCGGTGGGTGAGGGAGTGGTAGGGGAGAGATGGGTACGGGAGCACAAAGGTGGGTGCTGGAAGAGGGGCAGATAATGGGCGGAGATGATATATTACGGGCTGGTCATGTTCTTTTAGGGAGGAAACATGTTCTCTATTACGGCATCTATAATACATTAATTTTCTTCCGCTAGCTTAAGTGAACAATACATCGTCATCAAGCTCCCCCTTCTCCCTACCCTCCTCAATCCCCAATGCCTTCATTTTAACCTCCCTTTTCGTCTTCTCTAGCGTCCTAGCATGATACTGCTCCGCCTTCCGATTCCTGATATCCGCCCTGAGAGCATTGGGCGACACAAATTCCTTGTTCTCGTAAATGACAGGCCCACCGAACGACCCTTCCAGGATAACTATCGGCGTCATAACGAATCTCGGGCCAATCTCCACCAACGAGAGCTCCGTCTCAACAGCCTTACTCTTTGGAGCAACGGGATCGACGTTCTTAGCCACTTCCGCCTCAGAAATCTGGTAGTTCCTGAACCAGATCTTTCCATCCGCGATGGTGAAACTTATCACATGGTCCGTGAATGGCTTGCTTTTTCGTGCACCCTTGGGGACCCCAAAGGTGTGGTGAAGCATCTCTTTTATCAGCTGCATAGCGGGGGTTGCGTCGAAGGTTGCGTCGAAGCTGAGAAGCGGGCGGGAGCCTTTGAGGGCGTTGCCGGTGAAGTTGAGTTCTTCCATTGTGTGCACTATTTTTTTTTCCAATCTGCCATTAGTTTACTGAAGTCGATATGCAAAGGGGCTCGGAGGGGGGAGGGCAAACGGTTTTGAAGATGCATCTTGACGCAAGGCCCATTGGGCGCTTTGCTCAGCCATACGTAGAGATCTTGACGTTTTCGCGCTTCGAAGAAGAGGATGTTATTGCAGTTGTAGAGGTCGGCAATCTCGTTCAGGTGGTAGAGTTTTGATTTCGTATCCAGTTTTGCGTCCTTGCGGCTGTGTGGGAGCATTGCTACTAGGTCGTTGAGAAGGTGTCGGTGACTAAATCTCACTTTCATTAGACATCATGGTGGAGGATTACAGTGAAGGGTGGGGGGTTGAAAGAGAGACAAACCGGTATGTGACACCGCGGGAGGTCAAGATTAGAACTCTTTGTTTATTCTTCTTATCCGATCCCTCGGATGAGGAGGGTTTTGTGCCGCTTTTCGACACGGACTTGTATACCGAAGCCATTGTGATGTTCGATGGTAAGGTCTATGGATTTTTCTGTTTTCTCTTCACTCTTAATGCCCTGCAGGTGGTTAAGAGCCGGGTAACATGGGGCGTTGGAAAGTCGATTTTATCGAATTTTATCAAAATAATGATGGGAAAAGTGAAGGCAGAGAGGGACAGCCCACTCGTAAGAAATTTAGGGTTGGGGTGTACGATACGAGTATGATATCATACAATAAAAAGCATTTAGATCCGTGATCAGGGATTGGGGCTTGGTTGGTGTGCAGAGGGGGGGGGGGCAGTGGGTGATGGTAACAAGAAATCGACTGATGAGAAATGATTATAAAACAAAAAACTTGGGCAAACAATATCAAGTTAAGCTTGAGTTATTAAAGGTGTAGCTATACGAGAAGAATCAGAATGAAATAAAAGAACAGGTCAAGGCCAACGCATACTTATCTATATTACTTGGCAGTTATAAATTGAATATTATAAATAAGAATTGAAAATAGAATTACATTAAACTGTAAACTGGTTACTAAGTATGAGGATATTAAAAATATAATAAGAAGAAAGATAAAAGAGTAATAATGACTACGAGATTAAAAGAGAGAAAAAGGTAATTGGAAAAAAAATAGGTTAATATAATTCTGGTTACTTATATGTTATAATTCAAGTATTGTATTAGAAGCAGTGCTTCCAGCAATCCAGTCTGACGGTTGTCATCCTCGTCCAGGACAGGATGATGCCATGGTTGTCCAGATGACAAAGATGACGACTAGTGACGTCGGACGACCATTGACGCCTCTAGACACCTATTGATGACACCTGTGGACACTGCTAGGATGATACTTAGATAAAAATTCTACTTAAGTATGAGTACTTGACTAGTCAAGAAAAGTAAAAATTTTGTTCGACCTGTTTGTTGAATCTCCCTATTTGTTGACTCCCCTCCTAGTTTATTTTAATTTAAAATTTGAGAAACATGAACTTCCGGCTCACAATCTTGAGGAATTCTGGAAATATCAGCGGCCAGTTCAAAACTGATTAAACTACTTTTTGCCCAGGACTTTAGATATTCTAAAACCTTAATCATTCTACATAGAAGTGAATTTTAATGCTCTGTTCTGAAGATTTCAGTGCTAAATAATAATAAATTAAATTTAGAAGTTAGTAATTATTCTTCATATACTTTATAATTAATTCAAATCTAATGTAGTATTTTATTTATTTATTAAGTTTGATTTAAAGAAATAGAATTAATAAGATTAAATATATCTTACCTACTAAATATGCGCTCACACTCAGCAGACATTGCAGGAACAGAAACTGTATCAAGTACCATGTGAGAGAGATTGGGGTAAAGCAAATGTGCCATTGACTACCAGTTGACAAGCTGCTTAATAGGAGGTTCACCATTCTTCTTTGCTACCTAGTGTAAATATCTTTCCAATATATCAGGTGTTGGAAATACCAGGATCCAATATTTAGGAACCACCCTAAGTAGGGTAACCCCTCTTAGAATTGGAATCCATAGTTTCTAACACCCCCCTCTGGCTCCCTTACAGGACACACATCATCAAACATATTAATCTCAGTTGTATCCTGTAACTATAATGCTACGGAATTGAAAATGTAAGGATAATACCAGATACATTGCTGCTGTCTGTCCGACAGAATCTTGCTTACAGAATATATAGGAGGGGACCTTCAGCTAGGTCTGAAAAGTGGAAAGGAGTAAATCCGCCAACTATCTAGGAGGTTATTAGGCTTCAAATATGTAACATCTGTAGCATAGGCTGCAAGTAACAGGACCTTTTTGCATGAAGAGATGGTATCGAATGATAAAGGATTTCAATAAGAATCCAATACATTCACACCCACTCTATAATAATGAGAAGTGTCTAGAACTTTGAGGAAAACTACCACAGAAGCTAATAGACTTTATGGAGTATTACAACTGGGTCTAGAAATGTGCTGTGGTTAAGGAAATAATTCTCAATACTAGAACGGTGATTGAAATCCAAGCACCCAAAGAAGCCAGGAGTTGTTGACCAAGAGATTATCTATCAATCCGGTAGAATAGCTTCATGCAGGTTAGTAGAAAGTCTACAGGAAGATATCTGTCAGTTGAATATAGAGTTATAAAGATTTGAAGTTAGATGACCTAGGAAGGTTGCAATTACAATTACCTTGGCAGATACAAGCAGCAGATGAAACTAATCATTTCATCAATGATGGAGATGATTGGAACCATCTTAGTTTAACATGAGACCTATTCTATAAGTCTAAAGACTCTGACCATTGGATAATTACTATTGGGAACAGCATGATTTCCAGTTAGCTATATCATAATTACCAAAGAAGGTGTAGTAGTTTTCATGGTTTTCAGGTATTCACATCTTGAAGAATACCTGATGTTGGATGTTATAATCAGAAGACATACATAGTTGTATAACAGATAGATGTAGTCTGCAAACACTCAGATGCAGAACTTTCGTGCTGGGTAAGATAAGCCCGTGGTCCGCTGATA